GCAGGCAGGAGCAGCGGGCGCGGATCCCGCAGCCCATCGTCGCGTCCTCCGGGCGCTGCGCGGGCAGGGTTTGCTGCCTGCGGGAGCCGAGCGGTTTCGTGCACAGTTCAGGGAACTTTGCTAACATAAACTTTTTATCTTTTGATGATCCTTTTAATATAAAATAATCTCCTTTTTTTTCCCCCTCCCCTCCCATAATGAAGCGGTCGAACATTAAAAAGATAGCGAGTGCATTTTAAAGATGTTTCCACTTTATAAATCAAGCTTTCTTGGCAACAACATGATTTCTATTTCAATGCTGAGCTTGCCGTGTTCTCCTAATGTCTCCTACAGATCAGTCCTAAGAGGGAGTAATAATCCCCCAAAGTAATTCTCAGCCCTAAATTCTCCATAATTTATAGTTGGCTCGTTCTGCGGAGCTCTACAAAGAACGAAACAAATGACTCCCCCTCTCCCCCCCACTAAGTTATCAATATTTGCCTTGTTTATACAAAAAGGCTATTTTACACCATTGCCATAGAATTAACGCTTCCGCCGAGCTTTACATTTCCTCTCCATTGAGTGAACTTGTCATTAAAGCCGCTTTTTTTTGTTGTTGTTTGAAATCTAAAAATCAGGCTTCAGTTTCTTTTCGTTTGTGCCCCTTGAGGTCAGACAGACCGACATTTAAGTGATTTCAGCTAACGGCATTCAGGGGCATCTCTGTGCCTGCTGGGAGGGGGATTAGAGTCCTAATTAGTGCCTGCAATTAGTCGTTTTCCCTCTTCTCTCCCCCCCACCCCCCCAATGCTAAATGCAAGTGCATACAAATCTCCATTAACCATCATTTTTTTTTTAATTAGGTGAAGGGAAGGTTTATTATTGCTACCCTTTCTTTAAATAGCTCGGGTAAAATTAAAATCCGCACGAAGCAATCCTTTTCATCCTGCCATTTGCACCACGGCCAGCAGCAGAGCCCCGCTGCGGGGCTGCCCCGCACTCGGCACGGACACGCGTGGCTCCGCCTGCCCCTCGCCTTCCCCCGCCACGGGAGCTCGAGTCCTCGGGTATTCCCGCCTCCCTCACGTTCATTCTTTCCCGCAT